ATTATTAATATTATCGTTACTGTCGTCATCATCATCACTATTATTGTCATTATCATTATCATTATGGTCTTACTCTTACTAATATCCTGGTTGTCGTCTCTAAAGCCGCCACGATGATGATCGTTGCCGCCGTCTTGTCGTCGTTATTGTCCTCATCGTTATCATAATGTCATACTGACACTCATCCCATGCCGCAGGCCCCAAAGCCTTCAACTACGTGTCTTGAGATGCTCTCTGGAATGCTGTTCTGCTAGAACCACTTACCTGCCGGAGCGCTCCAGAAGTTTGGTCAAAAGGCGACTGGTGAAAGGCGGTGCAGACGAGCTTGAGGATGCGACGATGAGATTGAAAGTGGAGTTGACTGCCTTGCAAGCAGACGCTTGCGCGAGGCATCGAAGCATTGTTGACGTTCATGCCTTGGCTCTCTGTCAGGCAGCTTCTTGCTGACAGTTCGGAGTTGTTGGAGAATTCCGACTTTTTGAACGGTTTCAGATTTGGGGTTGCAGGGCTTAGGTGCTCAAGTTCGTAGTTTAGGGCTCAGGGTTTAACTCCGAAGCCCTCGTCGGATTCTATGCTGCCCTAGGAGCTGGTAAGAGGTTTTCATGATGTTGTAGTGTCGAGAAGAAAAATTTGGTACGCTGTGCCGCTACAGGGTACTGTATAGAAAAACCAATACCCAAACCATCCCAAACCCAGCACACCTTGACAAGGAATCCCGCATGAACGATAGACATTCTAGTGGTCGGAATCACTGTTGAAATCTTTGTTATCGGTCCTACCGATACTACTCCTTGGTACTCCTTGGGACTTTTTATACGCCAAGTACAATATATACCCCAAAACCCTGTTCGAATTCCTGCCCCAAACCCTACGTAGACCCTAAACCCTAAACCCTGAACCCTGAACCCTAAACTCTAAACCCTAAACCTTAAACCCTAGACCCCTAAACCCTACCGAGCCTAAGAGCGGAGGCCTCCACCCCAGAGCCCTTCTTACCTGGATATTCCCACTTTTTGCGGAGCAATCCGAAACCTGAACGCTGGGTTCAGCGGTTTAGGGATTTAGGGTTTGGGATTTACTTTTTAGGCTTTGAACGGGTCGGAATGAGTTGTATGAATCATGTTGCCAGAATGTTCCCTTGTAGGCCCTATAGAATCAGACCCCCGCCCAAGTTGCCCCCCAGGTTCATGATTCAGGCCTGTATACCACCTCTAAAGAACCCTAGGAAGCCCTGATAAAACCTCAGTTGAGTAAACCCTAAACCCTAAAGCACTAAACCCTAAACCCTAAAGCACTAAACCCTAAACCCTGAAGCACTAAACCCTAAACCTAAAACCCTGAACCACTAAACCCTAAAGCCTAAACCCCTAGACCCCTAAACCCCTAAACCCCTAAACCCCTGAACCCCTAAACGCCTAAACCCCGATGGTCAAGCCCTTATAATACTCGGGCCTAGTGTAGCACCTAAGCACGACTACTTTGATGCCGCAGAGGCAATCGGAGTCGTGGCCAACTTCGTGAATGGCCGCTGAGCTGAGGTTTATGGTTTGGGGATTCCCTGCAAGGGGTTGGGTTTAGGGTTCAGGGTTTAGGGTTTAGGTCCTTTTAAGGGTTCCCAAAAAGGGTTGCTATGAAGGATGATCTCAGGGTGGTTTATGGCTTGGGGGTTGACGTTCAAGGTTCAGGGTTGAGGATCTTAGGTGTTCTGGGGGTTTGGGGGTTTAGGATTTGAGGTTTAGGGTGCAGACGAATCAGTAGGCTTTTCAGGGCGGGGTTGTAGCCTCCTGGTCATTCACGACCCGACAGTATTTCAGAGGAATTCGGGGACACAGGCTGTGAGGGTTAGTGCGACGTTTTTGCCGTAGCCTGTTCGCCAAAGACTGCAAAGTGTGCTGGCCCATGTCGTCTAAACTAGGTCAGGCCTTAACTTTTCATCCTCCAAAAGGACTGTAAGAATACCCCATGCTATTCCCTGTTTTCGGTCGTTAATGTAATGCAAAAACCCGAGTCGAATTCTTCATTCATGCCCCTGTATTACTTGCAATTCCGAAGCTTTCTAAACCCGATGTGAGATATGCGAAGCGACGAGGAGAGCAATGCAGTATAAAGAAGCTCAGAATCTTGCTGCCGGTGGTATATACATGTCATTATGAGTCATATATATATATATGTGTGTATATATATATATATACAGGATACATGTTGTTCTGTCTTTTGATTCACTGCAGTGTTTTCTGTTTGTGGTTGGGAACTACTTAGTTAGTTATCCGTGGTGTTCCATGTTACAAAAGTTGTGCATTTGTTAGTTTGCATCATATGCATGCACACATGCATACAAGCATGCGTAGATAGACAGACAGGTAGGTAGATAGACAGACAGACACACAGATACAAAAGTACATAAGTACATACATGAACATACATACACCCCCTTTATATGTTTGCAGACATAGGTGTATACATACGTACGTACATACATACATACACACACACAGAGACACACATACATACATACATACATACATGCATGCATGCATGCATGCATGCATACATACATACATACATCAATGCATGCATGCATACATACGTGCACGCAGACACACACACACATGCATGCGTGCATGCATGCATGCATACATATTTACATACATACATCATACCTATGTACATATCTACATGCATACGTACACACACACACATACACACTTACGTACACATACCCACATCTACACACATACGCATACACATGCATATTTATATATCCAGCTATCCCTCCATGCATGCATACCTACTTCTATAATCACATTATATACATGTACGCACACACATATATGTATCTAGATACATGCTGCATACTGCATACATGCATACTCGCATACCCACTCATGAATGCATGCATGCTTGCATGCATACCTGTACACATATGTATCATATGTAGCATGTGTAACATACACGTGTATGTACATACGCTTACATATCTACATATCACATGTCTGCACAACCATATACCTGTATACATGTTTATACTTACACAACAGCACAGTGTATTTGTAACATACAAAAGTACATACATACGTACATACATATATATATATGTATACATACATACATACATACATACATACATACATACATACAGGTATGTATACAGACAGAGACAGAGAGAGAGAGATAACTATTTGTAAGGGTGTTCTATATGTGCGTGCACGCGTGTCTGTGTGTATGTAAACTATGCTATATGAAAACATGTGTAGAGATCTGCATATCGGGAGAGGTCATAATCTCGGCTGACATGGTTGAAGCTTCAACCGTACTGCCTATTCCCGTGCTGACGCTTAAGCCCGAGCCTTCGGCTAGGTCGCAGCAAGGCCGAACGAGACCTTAGGCAGTTCTCCTGGGCCAGGCCGGCTCAACCTAAGCCCTAAATCACAGATCGTTCAGGTTCAGGGCTATTGGCTTCAAGGTCCAGGGCCTAATTAGGGCTTGGGCTGAGGTTTAGGGTTCTTGGCCCAGTTTTTAGGCCCTAGAGCTTAGGGCACAGCGGCCGATAGGAAGAGTTACAGTTAGCCAAGCAGAATGTAGAAGTTTAAGACCACCATCAATAGCATTAACAAGAATAATGAAGCTGGGTTTAGGGTTTAGGGTTTCGGGTGATTCTATGAGTTCAGACACAACCTTTGTACGTACCTTGATAGCAAACACCGCCACAGCCAAGAGTACGAGTGCGCTAACGAAGTACTAGATGCGTCTATGAGTGCTAACACGAATGAAGCTACTGGGAAACCACAACGACGATGTCGACAACGACGACTACTGCTGATCTTCCTGCTATTTCTACTGCTATTGCTGCTGCTACTTCTACTACGCCTGCTCTTATTACCGCTAACCCCGACATGGTACAAAATAGGAATGCCGGGCAATAGAAATGAACTGCGAGGCCTGAAACTAATCGTGATGATGGAGTTGCAGACCGAAGTAGCACGCTTCGGTTATGCTAAGAACAAACACGCTGACAGCGATAGAAGCTTACAAGGCTGATATTATTTCCATGAACAGCAGCAGCCATGCACTGGTATGTTCGAGATAGCGTTTTCCAGAGCGTCTGCCTAGAGAGGTAAGAAGGGCCTCAAGGCTCCAGTCGCAATGGTCAGGGTCCTAAATCAAGACGCTGGAGCACTTCTGCATTCTTGGTGGTGTCAGGTCTTCTCCTCCTCGGAGAACACGCCCGGATAAATGTGACATAAGATTTAGTTTGGGTTTTGGTCACTGTACACCGGCTCCCCGTGGATAGTGGCGAGTGTATATCTTGGGGTTTCTTGCGGAGATGCTCGCAATACGGACTACTCTACCTTGTATTGCGTTAGGACAACAGGGTGCAACTAGAGGCGGAAGCCTTAAAGCGTAATTACTCTTACTATCAGGACCTCCCAAGAACCACTCCTCCGCGCTTCGCTCGGGGTTTCTTGTGCTGAAAAGCTGTTTGGTTTGCTTGTTTGAGAGCAGGGGCTGAGGGTTTCGGTTTAGGGTTGAGGGTTTAGATTTAGGCTATTAGGGGTGATGGTTGGAGGCTTCATGAGAGCTCATTTTCATCCGAGGGCCAAAAGTGCTCGCATCGTCAAGCTCAAGCGCCCCATTGTCATGACCCTTTTCCCGACCCTTCTCGAGCCCTTATCAAAACCCAAGTCCCTGTGGTCTAGTTTTGTTGTATGAGAGAAACAGCCTCTTAAAACAGCTAGGGACGTCACTTTTTTCACGATTTGATTGCTTGTTTTTTGGTCGTTTGGAGATTGCTTTTCAACCCGCGCCGAATCTCAAGAGACAGCGTGGGACCGGGGGATGGGCGGCCGAGCACCCAGGCCGCAGAGCGGGGATCCCAAAGTGCCGCTGATGACTGTCACATCCCGCATTGCCTGCATAGCTCTGCATAGCTCTGCAGTGCATTGACTGCAGTGTGTTGCATCGCGTTGCAGCGCGTTGCTCGAGTAGGTGTAGGAGCCGCCATGGAGAGACTTCCCCTCGTCGTGCTGCAAGAGATCTTGAGATGCCTCGTGCCCTGGCCGTGCAGCCAAGACGAGCTTTCTGAGATGGCGGATCGCATGTGGCGGGCACAGGCATTCAAGGGGCATTTACCACCCGCTGCACGATCTGGCGCGGACGTTCCAGCAACAGCTGCATACGCATTTCTACTTCCGATGCATCAACGCCTTGCTGGAGAGCGGTAGCGTCCCAAAATACGAGCTTCGAGCCGTGAGATTCACGTTCGACAGAATGCATCCTCCGAGTCGTGCTCGCAGACACATCTTAGAGCACGTCATCGTTCGGCTGACCCTAAGGAAAGATCGAAGCATCTGGACAGAGAACTGCGCTGGGACGATGCATTTTCTCTTCCCCGACGCCGCCGGAGTCTGCTGAGCCTGCCCCGCTACTGCTGAACCTGATGTTTCTTTTGCGCGCCGGTCCGCAAGCGCATGCTGCTGTGGGGTGGCTGACCACCTGGATGCCTGACCACATTGCACAGGTCTTGCACGCCTTTGCATTACAAGGGCAATTGCATGTCTTGCCAACCGACTGCTGCAATGCCCACCGCAATGCCTACGCTTCGGCGGTTCGTCGCCGGGATGCGGCAGGCCTACACTGGATCATCAACGAGGCCATTATCTTGCCAACGGGGTCGGTTTGGAACCATCGCGATCAGATCTTGCAGCTTGCCTGTGGGACTACTTGGATGCCATTGATTCAACACATCTCCCATCTGTATGGGTTCGGTAATTTTTGGCCCAACATCGTGGCATGGAACATGAGAGCCATTGGCATTGCCACGGCCTACCCCACTGACCGCAGCTATTGCTGCCAATATGGCCCCGGAGCCCTGAGTGGTCTCAATCAACTCATCGGTAGAACCAGAGAGGCACGGCTTGAGCAGCGCGTAGCATTATGCTGGGGTCGAGAGATTATTCGCATCCTTTCACCCCTTTGGCCAGCACTTGCTGTGCACGCTCCTGTACCATTGCTGGAAGCATACATTGTAGAATGGATGCTGTGTGAACTCTCCAAGGAGACAGAAGCTTCGTGGCGAGTCTGAGACCTCTCCTTGTGTCCCATCTGCCTAGATGTTGTTACCTACCAGCGCAACAGGCCGCAAGAGCTCCGCTAAATGGTTGCCTGCCAAACAATGCAGTCTTCATGAGCGAAGCCCTGTCTCTGCTAAGTAGGTGACTTTGGAGCAGCTCGCCGCTTTCCAGGGTTGTGCGGTGTAGGTCTGGTTTCGTGCCTTCTCTTCGCTGGCGGGGGGTGAGGTCTCGCTCCTTTGCTTTGCGCTCCTTGGCCTCGCTTTTTCGCGGCTGCCTGGCTTCGCGGCTTTCTTGTTCTTTTTTTTTTTGGTTTTTTCTAGGGCTTCGGTTTGGTTTTGTCTCTTGACTTTGGCACTTAGCTGTGCGCCTTGGCTTCGCTCCTTGGCTCTGTCCCTTGGGTGCCCTATCTTGGACACTGCCTACGACCCTCCAGGGCTTCGAACTGACTTTTGAGCCCTTGACACTTCAGCGTAACTTACCTTGGACCCCTCGGGGCGGCCTTCATAAGATCCTTGCCTTGCTTGAGGAGTCCAAAGTCGCTCACGCAGTCATCTTGAATAAGTGAAGTGGTCCCGGTGAAGTCACTCTGGTCGCCCCATGTCCCTGCGTGATATGGTCTTTGGAGTCTTTGGAGGATCTGCGTAACTAACCTAGGACCCTCTGGGGGGTCTTGCCGGGATCCCCATGGACTGACTGAGGAGGCCAAGCTGATGCCGCTGTCGACCAATGTGCCTGAAGTTGGTTTTTGGACGATCAGCGTAACGAACCTAGGACCCTCTGGGGTGCTTTTTCTGGGACTCCTCTACAGACTATGGAAGCATCAGGTCGACGTAGCCGTCCGATGTCCCTGACCTGGCCCTTGGAGGATCAGCGCAAGTAACCTAGGACCTCTCGAGGCGCTGGAGATTCACAACTTGCTAACCAGGGCACATCTCAAAGGCTCAGGCTCTGTCCTTTGGAGGTCCAGGCTCGAAGCCTTTACAGACAATGTTCTTGTGCTTCAGGCCCGGTAGAGTTCTGAGAGCTATTCCGAGCACCAAGACACATAACGTCGCTGATTAGACTCTCTTTTGAGAGTGGTGACGCCCGCAATCCTACGCCCTAGGCCCCAAGTCGTAAGCCTTCCAACATAGCCTAGGCCGCCCAGTAATTCAGGGGTCGGAAAAATTGGTGCCAGTAGTAACATCCCCTTTCATGTTTTTATCATGGACCCCAAAATTTGTTCTAATTGTCAAGGCCCCTATATTATTCGCGTGTGCTGTTTATGTTAGGGGCTCCCTATGCCAAGACAAAGGATACCCTGGTTCTAGGCGGGTTAGCAGGGAACTTCCTTCTGAGCAGGCAGTTCAACACCGGCCTCTTCAAGACGCTCAAGGAGAAGGCCTCTCGGGATCCTTCCGCAGACAAGCAACCCTAAACCCTACACCCTACAGCTCGCGCTTAAGATGTCAATGTACGGTAGCCAGCTTCATGCCATTTGCTGTTGTGATACGTGTCCCCTTCTAAAGTCTAAAGCGGGGAAGCTTGGCAGACCCTAACAAGAGCCAGCGGTTTCGAATTTGAAGCTTACGATTCTCAGGCGCGGGCCTTGGGGTTGTTAAAGAGTTTCTTTGGAGTTGGTCTCCTGCCTTCTTCTTTTGCCCCCAAACCTTAAACTCCAGAAACAAGCTCCAACCCCTTCTCCGTAATTTGTGCAAAACAGCAACAGCAACGGCAACAGCAACAGCAACAGCAACAGCAACAGCAGCAGCAGCAGCAGCAGCAGCAGCATCACCAGCACCAGCACCAGCACCAGCACCAGCACCAG